AAAATGTGCTTAAGTTCCTATCTTTGCCAGATAGGCAATTTTACTTCAAAACATCTAATGTTTAGATTACATGGTTAAAGTCAGTTTTTATTGTAATTACTGTAGGTGAATTGTTTTAAATTGTAAGAAGAAAATGATAGATTTTTTATTATGAACATCAGAAAACTAATGTTTCACATTTTTTCGAAGACATCCTCATCCTCTGTACTTCTCGGTACCTGGTGTGCTAGTATCATGAAATAGGCCCTGTGTTAAATGAGCAACAATGCACTAAATCTTTTGTGACTTTTTCTGTGTTGATCTGTCTTGGAGTTTTTTGTTCTGTAAAAAACGGCTTCGTCAAAGCGTCAGATCGCGGTTTTGACGGAAGTGTTTTGTTGTGCTCTTAGAGGTTCCTGCAGCGCTTCATTGACCCGACGTCCCGAGAGGATGAAAATGCAGGCCTGGATTTAAATGAGCCCCTCTACATGCAGAAACTGGAAGAGGTGAGACCCGAACGGACAAGAGAAGGAGCCGTCGTTCGATGGCCGCTGTGGATGCCCTGCAACCTGATGGCTTGTGCGCTTTGTGTTTTTCTTTCCCCTTAAAGATCAATGTGGTGGGAGAGCCGGTGCTGAATGTGAACTGTGCGCATCTGCAGTCCTTTGATGCGGACTTGTACAGGCAGCTGGTCTGCTATCCACAGGTAACCCCCTCCCCCTGCGCACGGAGCCCCCAGTGCTCTTTGGACATCCCTTGTTGTTCTTCTTGCAGTAACAGAATGATTGTCTCTGGGCGGAATTATATTTCCTAGTTCTTGCTCACCTTCTGCAGTAGCCACAGGTTTAAAAGATGACCTTTGTTTTAGTTTTTTGAACGGATTTAGCTACCTGCTTTTAAGATCCGTATGTTTCTAAAACAGTGCTAGGTTTTGCCAGTTTGCCTTGGAGATCAGCAGTTTAAAATGGGGAATATTGAGATTTGAGATCAGCACTATAAAAAAAAAAGGTTGGAATCGATCAAGATTGTTTAACCCTTTTGTCACAGGAAGTGATTCCTACTTTTGACATGGCTGTGAACGAGACTTTCTTTGAGCGCTTCCCGGACTCCATTTTGGAATACCAGATTCAGGTGCGGCCCTACAACGCTCAGAAAACCAAGAACATGAGGAGTCTCAATCCAGAGGGTAAGAGGCTCGTTTCACAGCGCACAGTTACGGTTGTAAACTCGGCATGTCGTTCAAGAAAAACCTGATGATTCCGTATTAACAAAACGTCGAGTTGTGCACGTCTCTTCGCATCTGAAGCGATTGCTCTGTCAGAGTCTGTTTAAAAAAAAAAACGCTGTGGGAAGCGATCATCTTCTCCAGTGGCTTTGACAGGGTTTCGGTGTTGCTTCTAGATATCGACCAGCTGATCACGATCAGCGGTATGGTGATCCGCACCTCCCAGCTGATCCCCGAGATGCAGGAGGCTTTCTTCAGGTGCCAGGTGTGCGCCTTCAGCACGCGGGTGGAGGTGGACCGCGGGCGCATCGCCGAGCCCGCCGTGTGCCGCAACTGCAACACCACGCACAGCTTGGCGCTGATCCACAATCGCTCCGTCTTCTCGGACAAGCAGATGGTAAGAGGTGCCTTCGGGCTGGCGATGCCCGACGGCCTCCGGGGCCTTCGTGCCCAGGTCCTTAGTCACGTGCCCGTGTTCTGTCGTGACCAAGCCCGTCCGTTCCTGTTTAATCTCGGAGGCGTGCTGCTCTAGGGAGCAGTGTGTTCGTTGGCGTACGCCGTCTCCTCAACCAGAACCCCAAAACCTTGTGTCCCCGATTGCAGATCAAGCTGCAGGAGTCCCCTGAGGACATGCCGGCCGGACAGACGCCCCACACCACTGTGCTGTA